AATGGCGAAAAAAATTTTAAAAAAAAAAAAAAAAAAAAAAAAAAAAAAAAAAAACAGAACAAGAAACATTGCGATGAACGTTAGGAAAAAACCAAGGTAGCATGTAGCCTGCTTATCGCAACACTGAAACACAATCAGTTTTAGTTAAAGTTTCTTGATCACGTTTGAAACAAAATGCCTTCTGTTAAACCTTCCCGAATATTGTCATCTTCCTAAATTAACACCCTAAGAAATTTCTAGCCAAAAGTGATTTTACATTTTGTTCTGGCGATAAAAAGGGATTTATTTATTTTTTTTGTTGTTGTTGCTAAAATCACTTTTAGAAAAAAGTGACTCAGGCTGTTATTTCAGGGAGGTGACGACATGAAAATCTGGAAAACTGAGATGCTTGGTTTGAGACAATCTTAAACATTTTTGACAATGTACATTTATACATTTGAACAAAGGTAAGCATCGTGGTTAATCTGGATAAATCCCAGTGGTAGCTTGTGATTAATTGTTTAGAATGCAGATATTGATGCAGATTTCCTTTAAAATCACACAAACAGATTTGACATTTTTACACTTTATTCATTCATGCCCCACAGAGCAAAAAATTAGAAATGAACACATTATTTAATGCTATCATCCTATTAAGAGATTTATCCTAAGAGGCATGCACAGCAAGGTGGAGAACGAGGGTAGATGATTAACCCAATAAGCACTGACCTTAAGTTTGACTTGAAGCTGCTTGACCTCGGCCTCCAGGGACTGAAGGGCCGGTCCGGTTCTGCCCTGACAGGAACACTCAGTGTTTGCTGGTGCAGTGGGTGGTGCTGCTGGTGGAGGTGTAGCTTTTGGGGGGAGCGTAATCCGCTTCCACTGCTCCAGCTCCATCTCCAAAACCTTTTTCTGCTGCTCCACACCAGCCAGGTCAGAGGTCAGCTTCTGCAGAGTTAGCCACAACAGGATTGGTGAGCCAGTCAAGGCAGTGACAAAACAAATAAAACTTGAAGTTGGGCCTACTCGCAAAAAAAAAGTGGAAATATGTATTTCTGTTTTGGCGTGGAGGGAACTGAAGAGCGATAACGAGCTGCAACGTATTGTTGCATGATCCGACCAACAATAACAGACTGAGCTAATGAAGGAAACTGTATCCTATTACCTGCAGTGATGCTGTAGGCCGAGGGCATATACATTCACAGAACATTGTGTGCAAACAGAACCATAAGCATTTAAATTAATAATCATGTATATTAAGATTTATGACATGTCCACAGCACTGTATATCTATTCACTTGAGAGCAAATTAACTTAATCAGTTACATTTTTCTATAGGTTTACAACACATTTTTCACTTATAAAATTCCATCACTTTCCAGACTCAAATTCCCAGATTTTCCTGTCAATTTTTAGTAAATAAAACAGTTGAGTGTAAATGTGAAGTTTTTTATTCGGAGGAAAGGGCTTCAAATATGTCTAAGTATTCTGCAGACGCCATAAGAAGACAAACTGAAGTTAGAAAGTAAGTAAAGACGTTAGTATGCTAGTTCTAAACTAAAACAAACTGTAAGGTAGACATTATTAAGTCAGTGGCTGAAACAGTTAATTGAATTATTAGGTAGTGAATGAGTTATTAGGTTAGTAACAATGATGGTAGTTAATTGTGTAAACTAGTAAATACTAGTGAGTTGGAAAACACATTAGTAAGTTATTATGTTAGTAAACAAGTTAGAGTAAGTTAGCTGTGAGTCAGTAAGTAGGAAAATAATTGGGGTAACTTAGTTATTAAGTACAGCAGTGGCGCAACTACACATTATTCAGGTGGATGCGAAAACATAAATCGGAGCCACCCCCCGAGGGAAGGAACGCTCCCCCGAGGCAACGATACGTGAAGTGTAAAACTCGCTACATTTACCTCGTTATGTGCGAGAGGTGAAGGAGCGTGAGGCGCGCTGAAGCTTATGGGATACATAATCGGCGCGTCGCCCCCTCCAGACGGGGTTTTGGCGCCCCCTCTGGTGCTGCGCCCCTATGCGTTGCATACGCTGCATACCCACTTTTTGCGCCTCTGAAGTACATATATTTGGTTTCAAGTAAGTGAGAAAGTTGTTTTTAACCTTTTTAGTTGGTAATAGGAAAGTAAATTAGTTGTCAAGTAAGTAAGTAACTTAGTTAGCTATTACGCAAGTTACTTAGCTAGCTACTGAGAAAGCTAGTTAGCTAGTGATTAAGTAAGTAGCTAGCTAGATATTAAGTAAATTAGTTAGCCTTTAAATAAGTACATTAAGTTAGCTATTAAGTAATTAAGTTAGCTATTAAGTAAGTTAGTACTTAGGCAGGAAAATTAATTAGTAATCAAATAAGACAATAAGTTTGTATTTAAATATGAAAGTTTGTAAGTTTGTTATTAATTTAGTTAGAAGGTAAGCAGGCAAGTTAGTAAGAAAATAAGTTAGTAAGTCAATAAAAAGTGAGCATGTGAGTCATTAATAAAATAACAATGGTTAAGGGAAGATGGTGAATAAATACCAACTATGTTCTTTCGTCACCAGTTTTAATGTCTAGTTCTATCATCCGGTCCGGTTCTGCCCTGACAGGAACACTCAGTGTTTGCTGCTGGTGGAGGTGCAGCACCACCTCTCTACAGGATTAAAGCTTTTTAAACCTTTGGACACATACAAGCCTTACTAGTAGAAAACTCTGAAGTATCAATGGTTCTAAAGAGATCAAGATAAACCACACATCTGTGGCAAATATTAAAGTGAGTTCCTGTCTTCCTTATTAGGAAATACGACCTATAATCACATCACTGCAACTTTGGCTCAATATTGCAATGATTAACTGATACGGTATTGTGTCAAACATGAAAAATGCTTAATGGCACAAATAGGAGACATGATACATGGAAATACTTCTGACCGTGTAAAGCAAAGCTGGAAAACACAGCAAGCCAACACACACGAATGAAACCACAGATTCCCCAGGGTTTGCTCTCTGCTCTGCATACATGGAGGTTATTGATATCTGGTTGCTGGCTGACACCTTTTAATAGAATCCCCCTTGTTTTAGGTTTCCTCTGCTCTGCTGAAGGCACACAGGCCGCCTGCCCTGGGAGCCTGGGGGAGAGGAGCGGGGAATAAAAAGTGGGGATATGGCCCCAGTGGCAGCAGAGCACGAATTAAGAGAGGCATTGATGACACTTCCTGTAAGACAAGCTTTGATTTCACAGGCCATTTTCAGCGCTGGTGAGAAATGACACTGACACAGACGGATATACTGGGAGGAGGAGAGGACTCCTCTCTCTCTGGCTCCGCTTTCTCTCGGCCTTATGGGATCACTGGAGTCAACGGCAGCCGGACAAATAATCTGAATATTAGCAGAAACACACAGTGGAGCAGCAGGCAGCGCTGCTGAAAGACCGTCCTGGGCAGATGTGGACAAAGGACCCAAAAATTATACTCAACAAAGAGTTTTTACTCAAATAAGAGTAAAAAAGTATTTGATAAAAAGTCTATTCAAGTACTGAGTAACTGATCAGCTTATCAATCATTTAATCTTTTAAAATAACATAAATCAGACAGACCAAAATATAAAGTTAAGAAGAAATTTTGGTATTTTAAGGACCAAAATGACAATAATTCATATAAGTAACAAATAATTAAATCAGGCAAAAGAAAATGTTTCTAAATCAGTTCCTTTCAATAAAAAAACTTATCAAACTTTAAGAAAACTGCAGGTGTGAGTCTGAGTCTCACACCTGGTTAAACCTTGTTTTAACCATGTTTTAACAAACATGGTACATTCAGTGGGTAGAAAATCCAGAAGTTTTAGGTAAAAGTACAGAAACATCATAATAAAACTACTCAAAAGTAAAAAGTACAGCATAGTAAAAATGCTCCTAAAGTACTTTTTTTTTTTTTTTCAAAAAAAGTTACTCAAGAAATTGTAACTGGGTAAGCGTAAATAGTCCAGGGTCTTTCTACATGGAGTTGATGTTCTCCCAGTGAATGCCTGGGTTTCCTCCCAGGTATCATCATTTATCGTTTATCATTATACATTTATTGTTATACATTTCTTATGTTAAGATTTTCATTTATTATTGTCACAATAAATTCCAATTAATTATTTTTTTAACTAAAATTGTGTTTTATAATTATTCTCTATTGTTTGTTCAATAAAGACGTACCAATAAATCTGAAAATATGATTAACTGCAGTTATTCACATTCTGTCATGTGACTGGTGTCCTAAAGAAGCACATTAGAAAAGGGAATGTTTTTTAAAGTTGTATTTGTTTGTGGGGCAAAGATTGCGCTGCCATCCACGTATGTAAAAAAGTATTAATAAATAGTTCTTATTGTCACTTTTATTGTTATAACAATACTCCCACAAAATATGATGATAAAACTTTGAGTCCACATCACCTACCCCTACTTCCTCCCCCAGGTCAAAAACACAACCGTTAAATTAATTGGTCTCTCTAAATTGTCTGTAGGTGTGAGTGTGTGCATGGCTGTTTGTCTCTGTGTTTCCCTGCATGGAAAACATGCAAACTTCATGCAGAAAGACCCTCAGGATGGTATTCTACCACCAAAACTACTGCTTAAACACTGATAGTTGTATCCAGTTTAAGGTTTTTAAATGTGTGAGCTGAAGAACTACCTGGAAAGAAAAAATAATGGAAGACACAAGACAACAGTGTATGACTTTATAAGGCAGTGAGGCAGGAAAAGAAGTGGAGAGGACAGAATGGCTGAAGGATCAGGAGACAGAGCAACACAAACAAGTCTCTGGGAAGCTGCCATGCTACCTATCACATGATGGCCCCTGTGGAGCCTGTCCTAAGCCAATTACAAGCAGAGTTTTAGTTGGAGAGTTGGCCAGGACCGGCTGGAACAAGTCCAAAGTCTATCACCTCTTGGCCTTTTCAGAGAGGGCAACAAGACCCGGCTTTGACCAGCCGGTCGGCTCCAACTTTCTCTGGTGGAGCGGCATTAATACTGTAGGAGGAGAGAGGAAACAAACAGGAAGACAGCAATTCCCCCTCCGTCCACTCATTCACTCCCCTTTGTGTGTGTGTGTGTGTGTGTGTGTGTGTAGGTGTGTGTGTGTGGGTGTGCGTGTGTGTATGTGTGTGTGTGTAGGTGTATGTGTGTAGGTGTGCGTGCGCGTGTGTGTGTGTGTGTGTGTGTGTGTGTGTGTGTGTGTGTGTGTCGGTGTGCGTGTGTGTGTGCCTCCACTGCTGTGTCTGAGTCTAAGGTCTCGCTGGGTTTCAGCAATCAGAGGCCTGGTGGGGGCACCAGGGCCACTTCCTGGGTGGCAGCGTTGTGAGAGCTGCACTCTGACTTGTGTGTACGAGTCCAACAAATTGTAACTTTACGAAAACACACACAGCCTCGTCTCTCATTATACGTTGGTGTTTGCAGCTCAGTCAGGATATTCACAATACAGGAATATCCTGCCTATCAGGTTAGTGACTGTTTCTGTCGACATGTTGGTGTGCGCGGTTTGTTTCCTATCAGACTGACTGACCACTAAATAACTCGACAGGTGAGTGAATTCACCTGTAGGAAGCAGTGAGCTCGTCTCTATTAGAAGGAGGCTGGATGAATATAACTGGGCACATGGTTTTTTATGTACAAGACAAGAGCAACTACAGGAGAAAACTACGATACAGTGGTAAGAATTTAGATTTTAATCTCAAAATTCAGACGTTTTTTTTCTCAGAATTTAAACTTCAGAATTCAGAGTTTAGAAGTTTTCTCAGAATTTAGATGTTAATGTCAGAATTGTGACTTTAATCTCTCACATTAGGCTATAAGAGAGATGAAATATAGTTTACATCCATTTACTTTGTTTTGGTCTTGCTCCTGCTGATGGCGTCAGCTGATGTTGTGTTTTCATGGTCGAGTCTGCCAAAACCGAACCGCACCATCGGCCCAGCATGCATTGCAGAGATGAAAAAACTGCGACTTCCATAATAGACAAATATAATAAAGATCATTTTTTAAATAATAATGAGTTTTTATGGATCACAAACAACAACTTTTAGGCTAATAGGAAAATGACAACATATTTAGATCAATGAGTTTTAACTCCCTGTTGTAAAAGTAAAGATCTTGTAACGATGTTCTATGAGGCACCAAATGGTTTTGGGCCTAAACAGCCTCCAGAGCTTCTGGTCAGGAATGAGCCTCTGGGTTTCCTGACACCTCTTCAGAATCAAACGAGGCCAGGCAGCATGTACTTTCTAAGCTCCTCAGTTCCGAAAACCCGAGATATGTAGAAACTGTTGGGACTACAATCTCTGAACCCATAATTCATTTTCTTTGCCTCTGCTCCTTTATTTTCCTGAGAAACACTTGTGTAAAAATAAACTTGTCTTGCTTGCTGCTCTCCTCTGCTCTGTGGTTGTAACCTCCACAGAAGAGAGCAGGGCTGTCAGCTGTCTCATTAAAAATGTTCACCAAAAAAAAAAAAAAAAAAGAAAAAACTTCCAGTTCATTCCTGTGTTACCTGTGTGAGCTGCTTGCTGCTGTTGAGCTGCACCTTGATCGCTTCATTGGCCTCTTGCAGCTCTCTGGCTGCAAGCAGAGCATCCTTCCTGGCACTTTGCAGGATGTCTATGTGGTGCTGCAGAGACTCAACACGCTGCTGCAGAGAGGAGGAGGAGCAGTGCTGGGCCTTCGTCAGCCTCTTCTTCCTCCTCCACCTCCGTTTCTCCCCTCTTGTCCCTCGCTCCCAGGGCTTCTGCTGTTTATCATCTAACAGAGGGAGAACATGCAGCTGCCTCAGAGGCGACGTGAGCGGGAAAACTCAGGAATCTGTTTTTAGACGCTCCGGCTGGGAGTTTACAGGCGCATGTAGACATGTATGTGCTTCACAGCTTTGGCTTTTTCATTATAGTTCAGTTTTATTTCAATTTTACTTTTTGTTTGTCTAATTCAGTTAGTTTTAGGTAGGTTTTAGAGTTTGTTTGCTAGTTTTTATTAATTAAACAATTTGTTTTAGTTAAGCTTTTATTGATAAAAATGGTAGTTTTAGTTTTTTCATATTTTGGTGAATTTATAGGTGAAGAATTCAAACAGGTCAAAGGATTGTGATGTGATTATGTACAAATCGCACTGGGCAATGAATACTTAAGAAATGTATTTGGAAATGTACCAAATGGAAAAGATTACAAACTTATTAAAGTTTCAAAAAGCTACTTTTAGTCTATGCTGGGGTCAGAAGAAACTCTGTTCATGTAAATAAGTTGGACTTGTTCTGCTCTGTAAAAATTAATAAAATTTAAGTTCTAATAAGAAAAAAGAAACTAACTTATCAACAGCAAAGTAAGCTGCTTGTGTGGAAAAAAATAAAAAAATTCACATCAGTTTCGTGTTTATACTTGATAACCATGAAAATGAAGGATATTATATTTGTCATTTCAAAACGTTTTAGTTAGTTTTATAAACGCACAACACAGTTCCAGATAGTCATAGTTTTTCTCTATTATTACGTTTTTAATTATTTCAGTTAACAAAAGAGATATCTGAATGTCAGTTTTTGTTATTTTGTTAGTTTTAGTTAATTATGATAAACTTGATGTGAAAACTCAGATATATTTAACTGCTAGAATAATTTACACTTCTGGTTTATAACTACTTAAAGAGTTGAAAGGAAAAAACTGATCAACAGCAAAGTGAAATAAAATATTTTCTAACACTTTTAAAAAAAGTGAAAATCTGAAAAGTGTGGCATGCTTTTGTGCTCAGCCCATTTGAGTCACTATATTGTAAAACCGTCTTTCAATGCAGCTGCATTTGGATTCAAGTCTGGACATCTGGACCGGAGCTCAGTGAATATTCTACATACTGAATATCTGATGTATTATCGGTTGATATTAATCATGTGTCTACTGTGATATATACTGTTATTGATTTATTGTTCTGCTATAATTTAGAGGTATTTGATTGATAACTGCTCTGGTTTTTACTCGTCAATCCTTTTATTTCCACTTCACATCTACGCAAGTTGAAATTTGTGGCTGTAACGTGACAAAATACTGGAATACCTCTGTGAGGTTCTGTAACTGTATTTTAGTTGCTCTGGGTGTGAAAACTTGTGCTACCTTGTCTGCTCTTGGATCCAGTTGCTTGTGCGTATGGGCTTAAGCTCATCAACTGCCTGTAGGACTAGAAGAAGAAGAAGAAAGTCGGTAAAACGTCGATTAATGGAACACAACAGTTGACAAGCTTCGGTTGGCTGACATGGGGATCGAGGTGACACTGTGATCACACACTCTGCTCAGCTTAACACAACAAGACAAATCATCCTGCGCCTAAATAATTCACCTGAACATGTTCAACAAACTCCTACAGTCCCCGACTCTGAGCGTGGAGATCAGCTCTGACAGCTGCTTGCTTTGTTCAATCACGTCTGAGGGATTCGATTCATCCCACGCCACCAAGGCTACGAGTGTGTCGTCATTTACAAGCAAAAAAATAAATAAAAGTGTGTGTGGAAGTGTGTGTGACACCTCCCAATGCAAAACAGTTTGTAATGACATCAAACGAGCCAGGTAGGATTTAATCAGAGGCAGGTTTGATCAGAGGGGGAAACGAGGTGTTTGGTTTGTGGCGCCGCGTGTTGTGTGGGGACCTGGGCTGTCACAGCAATGAGGATGGAAAGGCTGACGGGAAAATGAAAGGATCAGGAAAGACGAGTCCTGACAGCTCACAGGTTTTACACGGCAGGCAGGCACCGCTTTCAACTGCCTCTTCATGAGTTTAATAAAGAGGTGAAAAAAACAGCGTAAACCTGATTATTGTTTTGATCTGCTGTCTGAACATGCTTCATATGAAAACATCCAGACAGCATGGAGTTGATCAGCTGCTGTTGCAGCTTTGGGAGGTTTACACTGAAGCCAAACTGACGAAATCAGTTCTCACTGTCGCTGCTGCGAGAGGAAAATCACATCGTTTTGTTCTCAGTTTCACGCCGTCCGGCCCTTCTTATCAACCTCCCTGGAGAACTTTTCGTCCCCCTCTCTGCGTTAAACTATTGTGTTTATGTGGAAAAATAACACTCAATTTGATTTTTCTGTTCAATACTTAGGACTGATCTGGACTGCAGATGTTCACATGATTGTATGATAGAGAATCAAATCCTGTGTAATAAAGTATGAACAGTTCACACTTAAATATCTTGATGGTTGATGCGAGTCGATGTGAATCAATGTGATCAACAGAGCCGTGTTGATGCAGTATTTCATGCAAAAGGAGCCACCAAATGGATATTTTCTATTTTTTATTTTAAAAAATAATTAGTTATTTAGCCTTTTTTTTAAAAATGGCTTTTATTTCAATCATTGGTTCTGTGATTTAACCTGAAGCTGTAAAACATGTTTGTCAAACATGATGGTATTTCTTGGGAGGAAATGGTGGAATAAAAATCCAGATTTTCAAAAAATTTGATCTTCGAAAACAGAAAATTTGATTAATCGATAAAATCGATTTATCACCCAGCCGGAACGATTCACTTGCAGATGCAGCCAAATCCTGTGATCCAATCTGACTGGAAATTTGAGCTTTAAAAAAAAAAAGAAAAAGAAAAAGATCTGAATGAGGGCCAACCTTTCCATGAGTTTGCCGCGTGTGAAGCTCGGTCCCAGAGGATTCCCCGTTCAGACTATCCGAGTACTCCTCAACACTGTCACTGTAGAGAAAGGTAAAGTTTATTATTGGTTCTCAGAGTACGACCATTGGACAAAAAAATATCCAATTTACCTTTTATGGTTGATTTAGTTGACATCAAGCAAAAATATGTGCATTCCTACCCCCTCCATCCAACAGAAAATCAATGTCCCGTCCAATTTCTGAGCTGGAAGTGTAAATGTGGGTGTAAATTAAGTGAAAAGCTGCGATGTCTGATGCTGCTGGTGAATGCATCAACATGTATGAGAGTGGCTGTGGCCTTCATTAGCTCTCCGAGTGTGACAGACGTGTGAGAGAGGCATGGATGAGCGGAGCGCAGCAAACTTGCATCTGATAGACGCACAGTGAGGGTTTCACGAAACACACACACACACACATACACACACACACACACACACACACACACACAGGTCTATTGACAGTGACCTTTGACGTGAAGGTGGAAGCCAGTGACATTTACGCTGGCGGGTTTATTAAGGTGGGGCCTGGGAGCAGCAGCAGAGGTAAAGAGCGCTGAGTAGAGGCTCTAACTGGGGGATGACATGGCTGGGGGGTTAAATCCAGTCTGGTGAGGACCGGGGACTGGTTGAGGATTACTCATCACTACCAGGGAAACCAAAGTTGCATTAATTTGAGAAAGCCACCAACTTTACGGAGCAGAAACACACTGACTCACAGTTAGTCATTATAAATTAGAGCTGCAGCAAACGATTAATGTAGCAAGTGATTATCCTGATGCTTAATTGTATAAAAAACTGACATAAAACCAAACCAAAGTCAGAAAAATTAAACTACTATAACCATTAAAAACTAAACAATATGTAACTAATACAAACTAGCAAACACTAAAAACTAACTAAAACTAACTGAATTAGACAAACAAAAAAGGCACAATGAAAGAAAACTAAACTATGATGAAAAACTCAAAAATAACCCCGAAACACACTCAGACCAAAGGACAGTTTGTAGACAAATCAACCCAACAGTCATGTTTTTGGAAAGCAGGAGGAAGCTGGAGTACCCGAGAGAAACCACAAGGAGAACATACATTTTCCTTTATCCACAATACAAAATAATAAAATATGTAAGATTCATGCTGATATCGTATCAGGTTAATATTAGTACAGCAGAGCTGGACAATATGGCTGATTGATATAAGCATTTCATATCAGCTGATATCAATAACTGTTTAGTTTTTTGTTTTAAAGATCTGAAATAAATGAGTGGCGTGACCTTTCCTTTTTTCGCTCCACACGGTTGTTTTTTATTTTTAAGCAGTTATGCGGTACGGTGGCGAAACCTTAAACTGCTGCTGGGCAACTTACTCCACAAGTTGTTGCTAGGTAACCAAAGAATGAGTGAGTTGCTAGGTAACCAAAGAATGAGTGAGTTAGTTGATGACATCAACCATGAGAAGTTTAGTGGCTACAGCATTTCCTCTGCCAATCTCCCAGAATGCTGTGCGGTTCTGGATCGGAGTACAATGAACATTCTATATATTGAACATTATACCAGATGTATTATTGATTGATACTGATCACAGAAGTGAAAAAGTTTTATCAGAATAGCCATATTAAATATGTCGCAGTTTGCCGTTCTAAAGTGACAAAATACCAAAAAATGAAGAGGGTTTTCATATTTCTGCGAGGCTCCGTAGGCCTGACATCTCTATCAGACGACACAGAGCAACATGTCTGAAAAGAGGATTCCTGTAACATCAGAAAGGCCAAAGGCTTTAAAGTATCAAATCGGTTGACAGGCGCCTTAAATAAGACAACATGTCGGTTTAAACACCCTTGTTCACAAATCCGCTTAGATCCTCCTCTCAGGTAAAGCGTTTATTAGACCGCCGCTTATTAGCCACATGGAGGGGCATTAGGCAGGCCGGGCGTCGGCGCACCCAGTCGCCGTTAAATGGCCTCGTGCGGATAGAGCTGGGGAGGATTACGGCGTAATGAATTAGCCGGTGAAGAGGTGGAGAGCGAGCGAGCGGGACGGACGGAAAGGCAGCGGCGTTCAGGAAACGACTTATTTTTGCATAAAACATACATGAAATAATTACTGTCGATGGTTGTTAATTTAGAGGCTGTTAAACATCTTGTAGACATCTGGTACTGATCCGAGTTGGGTCATTCAAAATTTATCCAACAGAATTAAGGCAAGCAGAGAGGAGAGGACACACACACACACACACACACACACACAC